ACTTTCATTCTCCTGCGATGAGAAAGCCATTTCAAATGCATATCTTTCTAGTTGTCCAGCTGTAAGTTCCTATACAACATTGCGCCATAGTGATCATGCATCTAACCCATAGAATTCTCAAGAATTTCCTAATACCATTCCGTGCCTCGGAGAATATTCAAATTATCTCAGCACAATAATGAAAGTTTCCTATTTCAAAGGTAAAAGCTTATTAGTTCCGCTTTCTCATTAGGTAATAACTCCAACCTCTTCAGAAGAGCAAGAAAACAAAAAACAACATATATCCAAACAAACATGAGGTCCCGCATTTATTTCATTAAACAATTTGAAGTATTTAGACAGAATATCCTTTCATCTGTTTTTTAATATTTGTAGTATTCCTGAAAACTTATCTGTGATTTGTCTTGCCAGAAAATATGTGTTCAACATAATAAACAATTTTATCTAGAAGCAGCATATCATTTTCATTCTTGCTTGTAATGATTTTGTGAATCTCCCTGAAAACTCTATCACCATTTTGCCCAACCAAACTTTTAAGACATGCTTGCTAGATCAACTTAAACTACATCTATGTCAGTCTCAAGTTGTGCCATGTTTTGAACCACGAGCGTTAAACATGGCAAGTGCACCAGGGGGCTTAATTAATCACATATCTGCAGTTCTGCATATACCAAAATAATTTACGTGCGACACAATGTGTTTCTGTGTTGCAGGAAATCCTGAAGGATTGGGGCCTGAACTTCTGGAGACTTTGGTCAAGATGGCTCCAACAAGAGAAGAAGAGATAAAACTGAGAGAATACAGCGGAGACACCTCCAAATTAGGGTCTGCAGAACGATTCCTCAAGGGAGTGCTTGATATACCATTTGCCTTCAAAAGAGTAGAAGCCATGCTTTACAGAGCAAATTTTGATGGTGAAGTAAAAGATTTGAGAAAGTCCTTCCAAACTCTTGAGGTACTAACAATTGTCTTTTTAAATTTATACTGTCTAGAAGAGCTTAAGGGTCATTTATATTCATGTGTTAATAATACGTCAATATTTTGATTAGGGCAAAAGTCTGATGCTTATTCTATAGACTAGGACATTCCGTACACAAGTATTACTGAACTCAATGACTGTGATTTCTCAGGATGATGTGACATAAATATGTTACTCCCTCTGTTTCAAATAGATTGGCACTATTTCCTCATTAGTCCGTTTTAAAAAATTGTTACATTTCAATATTTCCTTAATAGGAAGCATTTATAGCCACACAAATGCTATAACAGGTTTAAAACCACAAGTTTTAAAAGTTCTAAAGCCACACAAATGCTATGGTTTATTTAAGACCACATATCTCAAAAGTCTTCCCTTCTTTATTAAATGTTTGTGCCAGGTCAAACTAGGACAATCTTTTTGAAACGGAGGGAGTATATATTGACGCCCCCAGGGTCTTAGCTGCACTAAAACTTTTACATTAGTGTTCTTTGTACCTGAATTTAGAGTTGAATTTAAAGCCTTCAATTACTTTATTAGCATGGATTACCTTTCTAAGAATCTTGACTACATCAAATTATTCCACGGGTAAACTTGAGCCACTCTCAGAGGAATGCCGTACTAATTACCTAAAAGACCTTATCTAGGCTAAAATTTTCTGCTAATATACCTGGATTTAGACCTTTCGTCCGATAATTTACTAGAATCATAATAACTGTGGTGCATTGCACATCATATGGACAGGTAGCCAGTGAAGAACTGAAGAATAGTAGACTATTCCTCAAACTCCTGGAAGCTGTTCTAAGGACAGGAAACCGCATGAATGTTGGAACTAATCGTGGTGATGCCAGAGCTTTCAAACTTGACACTCTTTTGAAATTAGTAGATATAAAAGGAGCAGACGGGAAGACAAGCTTGCTGCACTTTGTGGTGCAGGAGATTATTAGGTCGGAAGGGCTGGGTTCTGAACCCCCAGGCGATAATCTTTCTAATAATGCAAACAACAGATTCAAGGAGGAAGATTTCAGGAAGCAAGGTTTGCAGGTTGTTGCTGGATTAAGCAGAGAACTTGGTAATGTCAAAAAAGCAGCAGCAATGGACTCAGATGTCCTGGGCAGCTATGTCTTGAAGCTTGAAGTGGGACTTGATAAAGCAAGATCAGTTTTGCAGTATGGCAAGGAAGGTACGCAAGGTAACTTTTTTGAATCGATGAAAGTGTTTCTTAAGGAGGCAGAAGATGGAATAGTGAGGATCAGAGCAGAAGAAAGAAAGGCCTTATCCATGGTCAAACAGGTAACAGAATATTTTCACGGTGATGCTGCAAAAGAGGAAGCTCATCCCCTGAGAATATTCGTGATCGTGCGAGACTTCCTCTCCATATTGGATAATGTGTGCAAAGATGTCAGGAGGATGCAGGATCAAACAGTGGTTGGTGGTGCAAGATCATTCAGAATAGCTTCAACTGCATCACTACCAGTCTTGAACAGATATAATGTGAGACAAGAACGGAATTGGGATGATGATAGCTTATCTCCATGAAATTTATGTGAAAATAATTCAACCATCTCATTAATGGACAAGCACAGATGGAGGATGATGGTGGAAAAGAAACACCAGATTGAAGCAGTCTCACATCTTCAGGGAGACACTAACATTTTGGTGCTAGCAGGCAAATATAGCATTCAGCTCCATAAACAAGAAGCAATAAATGAAGGAACAGTACAGAGATTAGGCAGCCTATACGTCAATCCTTCACAAAGATACAGAAGATTAGACAGCAAGAATTCTAGGATTCATAATCAACCTTCAATGCAAACGAATCGATGCGGGGTAAAGGGATTATTCCTCTTTTTACTTTTGAGACGGGTATAGACCTAGGCATAGTCCTATTCATTTGTAAACATAGTCAAGAGACATAAAAGTTCAATGCCAGGCGACATTATGGTCTGATCTCGATTTTGATAGTAAAATGCTGCAATACAAAGAAATTATTTCTCCTTTATAGAATAAACATTCTTTACACTTTTGTCTAACTTAGGTCCCCTAAAGCTGTTTAACCAGCAAATTAAGTAGATATTACGGAAAGCATGTCCGGAATTAGGCCCCGCAGCCACTACAAATACAAGAAGATGAATAAAAACTAAACAAAGCAAAGCATTTTATGTATCTTAATCAAATCTTTGGATATACAAAAGCCCTTCCTAATATAGACAGGTGGATCCAACAAATATACAGGATGTATTTTACTTATTGTGTTAGACTTAGAGTTTTATGCATGTACATGGAAAATTTAAAGATGAATTGTAAAGATATGTATATATATTTAACAGGTGCATCTAGTGACTTTAAATTCTAAATCTGCCTTGTGTAATAGTAACTGCATCAATGATCAATACTAGCAAAAATTCGTGGTAGACATACCAAATGACTGTAAAAGTGCCTGCTTTGCTGCTGCAAACCTGTTTAATAATTGTACTCAGTGGTGGAGCTACTCTTATGGGAGGTAGTCGGAAAATGACACTGTGTGCTAGGTATGAACTTATTTTTATTATGTATATAAACTATTGGCCTCTCTACCTCCACCAGGTAGGGCTAAGGTCTGCATACACTCTACTCTACTCTCCCCAGACCCCACTCATGAGATTATACTGGGTTTATTGTTGTCGTTTTGGTATGTATATAAACTATTGAATCTCCTTGACTTATTAGTGAGTTTATTAATTCATATTTTGACAGCAGAAAAACCTGGCTCCGCCACTGATTGTACTAGCTCCTTATCATGCAACAGATATATGAAGGGGCCGCAATTTGAATGGGAATAATGGGTAAGGTGCAAGATGTCAATTTGAAAATGACTGGACGGGGGAGCTACAAAATGAGGGAAGGGTACACAGGCGGACATACCCAGACAGATGACAAGGCGCGCAGGTTCTTCAATGGATACAATTGTCTGCGTCACAGCACGCAAATATGCGTTTCTGCTGTTGATGATTTTGTGAAGCGATTTCCCCCAAGTAGGAGCCACCATTTCTTTCTCCTGGCGCTTGACGGGTGCGAATCGCCCTTCTGACTGGCTTACTCTCCGCCTTTTTTATTTGTTCCAAAAAAATATAATTTAAAAAATAATTTAACTTTAAACTTTATTTTACAATCACACAAATGTCATTGTTTTATTTAATATCACAACTTCTAAAAGCTTTTTTTCAAAAAAAAAAAAAAAAAATCATACCTTTTACTCCCTCCATCCTTTATTTTATTGGACTGCACACAAAAATTAAGATCTTAACTTAACATTAATATTAGTATGGTGAAAGAAATATATTAAAATTTTCCTTGAAAAGGCGATTGTAACATTAATGTTTTATAAAAAAGAAATGACATTATTGTCAAAACTAGCAGTGAATCAGTTATAAGCTAATGCCATTGAAAGGGAATGGAACAGTGGAAGATTCTAGAGAGCTTTTTCTGTATTTTTGTTTCTGTGTCTTAGAGATGGAAGTGAACCTTCCTTTTTATACAGAGTAAAAGAGAATGACAGCTGAACACACTAGTCACGTGTCCTTTCCACTAACTAACTAGGACTGACTTAACTAGCAGTATTTTGTATACATTTCCAATAATTATGCATTTGCAATGTTTCAAAAGGGAAAAAATGTCATATAAATTAAAGCAGAGGGAGCATGATGAGGGTTCGTTCTTAGTACAAACTATCACTGATGCAAGAAAAATAATGCTCTTAACGATCTGACCTCAGCAAGGAGCAAACAAGATTTGGAATTCTTTTCTTTTTCTCTACGAGATTTGGAGTTGAAGATTGGCAAGTATTAGGAGTTTCTGATCTCTTTTTCTAACAGCATCAATAATATAACTTCCAAGTATTCGCTCATTGATAAGTAAGCAACGATTAAGGATTATTCGAAGGCAGCTGAGAGCAGTACAGCTCAGCACTCAGCAGTTACATGATTGTTGGTTAGTTACTGTAGCGAGTGCAAATAGATGTTAGTTGAGCTAGCAACTTAGTCGGTTATCGAACTCAAGTTAGCTGACTACTGTATTTGTGCATTGATCTTAATACATAGTTACAGTGAGTTGTATAAATTACATTGTAGAAGTACAGCTTGCCACAAAATTCCAATTTAGTAGTAAAAGTTACAATGAATTTTATCTAATTAAAGAATGAATTCAATAAGGTGCAACAGTGATTGGTTGTATTGCAAATTATGTGGATTCAAATGAGAAGAATGGAGCTCCAGAAATGCTCTTGGATCTCACTATCTTTCTCACCAATATTCTCCATTTCATTTCATCCTTCTTGTTCTGTTTTCTTCTCTTTTGCTTAAAATTCCTGCTTAAACATTAAAAACAATAATTAATCAACCTATAAACAAGATCACTTCTGATACATAGAAATCAATAACTGACTGATCTTCAGTGTTTGTTCTTCTAAGTAGAGGAAAAAGATAATTATAACAAACCTGCACAAAGGAACCCGACAAACATCCGAATTGGCACAAAGGCGAGAATGCAATTCCAAAACTTGCCACATTCTCTTGCAGTGGATACAGCCACCAGGGACTCTCAACTTACACCCGGCAAAGTGACGAATGAGCAATTCTAGCCCCTTGCACGCTGCATACTGGCATGGTTCTTGATCCTCTTTCAGAACCTTATCGTGTGGACCAATGGTACGACAACCATCTTTGCATATGTGAACCAAAGCTTCCATTGCCTCATACAACTGCATATAGATTTTCCTCTCGTTGTTCTTTCTCACCCTTTCCTTCTCCCTCTGCAAACAAGTCATCATATTATTATTAAACCACTTAAATGGGATAAGATCCATTCTAAACATATGTGGGATACTACTTACCATATCCTCATCAATTACAGATCTCAAAATCTGTCTTTCAAGCACAGGGTGGCTTTGTTTCATGGCATTCCACCCTTCTGTGGCGGATACTGGCTTAAGATGCTTCAGCATAAAACGGTGACAAAGAAGGCTAAGCCGAGAGGCATCACACAAGAGTGCCAACTGGAAGATATCAACCACATTTTCCGTGGTCAATCTTTGCTCCAGCTGCAGCTCACATTCTCGCTTTAGGTGAGGGACCGCATATGCATGTGATAGCACCAATAGACTCAGCCCATGTTCCTTCATTTTTTCTTCCTCATACCTGCAATGTGAAGAATGAAAATAGAGATGATCAGAACCTAGTTATTGTCATTCAGATTACAAATATAGTTTCATTAGGAAACTATACTGCTATCTTAAAATTAATTTGGGCTAGTATCACTTTATAAAGATGGAATAACTGCATTGCTGTGCCTAAAATTGATTGTTCAGTCTTGGAAAACAAACAGCTATAAGAAAGTTATGTTAAATTAAGCTAACTATTCAACAAGAGAACAAACCAATAATAATTTAACAACATTATTGACCTTCATTGAAACCCTAGAAATATGGTTAACGACTTTGGAAGCCAGATATGCACGTGCCTAAGAGCCAAAGCACAGAAATGATGTCAAAGGAGAATCAATCTACCTGGAAGAATATAAGAATCTGATGAAAACTTGAACAGCCTCAGGTGGAACCCCACTTATCGAGATGGATCGCTGATGACCACGACAACCACGTGCTCTTGATTGTTTCAAACTCAACATGCTTTTAAATACTGGAGAATTCATTCCCTGTTCGCATACATCCGGAGATCAACAACTAATACGTCTAAAAATTTCTATTCCGTGCCAAAAGCACCCTAGTACTACTCTAAAGGCGCACAATTGTGTAAAGAACTTACCAAAATACTAGCATGCGCATAGAGGATGCCACCGTTATCTGTATTGATAGAGACGTCAGCTCTGTAACCTTCATCAAAGAGGCAATCCCACGTATTCTTTGTAGCACTAGGCGTGCAGCAGTATTTTCTCACTGCTGATTTCCTCGTTACAAATTTGATCTCCTGCCGGCTATTTGTGAAAGACACTGGCAATGGAGGCGGGTTTGGCAAGGCTCTCACCCGCGGAGATTCCTCATTTCTACTGTTCATTCGCTTAATGATCCTTCTGCAGAAGAAAAGTTGAATCACTATTAATAACATGTCAAATTGGAGATTCAAGTTTCGAGGAAAAGAATATTATTCGTGATCCACTACAATTTTTAAGGTAGCGTCAAATTGAGACTGTCCTGAAATGAATCCATTAAACGAAAAGAACCCCTTTTGTTTCTTATCTCGCCGCAAAATCAGAGAATCCAGAGGAGAAGATAAAGGGAAAGAACGTTTCTTGTCTGGCTAAACAAAATAGGTGTTTGATTATCATAAAGAAAGTGCAAACGGTAATTGCGTTCTTCTCGTTTTCATTTCATCATTTTATATTAGATACCTAAATGGCTAAATCGTTTGGAAAAAAACACATTGCAGGTTGAAAGCAAGAGGTTCCAATTGCAGGTTCAAATAGAACCTAACCGGAACGGCCACGACCCCGCCCCGGCCCATTCTGGTAGCTATTAACAAATGATCGTCAGAGAATGTGAATGTTTGATTTTTGCGACAACAATGAAAGAAGGTTCACGGTTGGATAGAAACGCAATGAAATGGTGATGGAATCAATCAGTATGCATGGAATTACCTTGTTAATTACCCGACCGGAGGACAATATGAAGAAATTAAGGGAAACAGCTTCCTGGTTCTCACAACCCCCTTTGATCTCTGCTCTTCCAAAAATTAGAAAAAGAAATGTTTCTCTATTAATCAATATCTACAGATTATATTATGTACTAGAGATCAAAAGTTGATTGCAGGTTACGCACCAAAATTGTTAACCTTTCAAAACCCCAATTGTTACAAAAATAAGACGATTTGGCAGCAGTCCTTAATTATTGACAATGCCTGCCTTCACCAGCAAAATAATGCCAGACTCTTCTGGCAACAATTGGGAGATTGGATCAAAAGGAAATAGAGAGGGAGAAAGAATAGGAGATTGGAAATGAAGGTGGGGGTTGATTATTTAAAGGGAAGAAAGGATCCAAATATGGGCAGGGTGTTAAACGAATAGATAAAGATGTGATGACCTGTATATGTGTCAGCTCCTATGCAATGCCGATGGAAATTTCCTCTGACTTTACCATTGCTAGCCAATAGGATTAGGCAAAACCGAGTGAATCTATCTAAGTCAAAACTAATCCAACCGAGTGCTCCTTTACGTAATCATTATTACTTGCCTCATTTGATTTGGACCAATTAAATCATTATTTTTTTCTAATTTCTCTTTTGAAATTTCATTCTCAAATAAATGCGATGCTGGGCGGGAGAGATATAAACTTCTAATTACTGATAAATCGAATTAAAGCGAACTAAAAAGGCAAACTGAAATAGTAGGTCTTGGTTTTGATTCCATGTTTAACTTTAAAAAAATCTCATTAAAATGGTCTTTTATTAACTACGTACTCTCTGCCTAAGTAATCTTGAGGCCATTGTATGTAATTAATGCACAGAAATACAAGCTAATATCTAAACAATCCACCCCTTCACAGTTTTGGGTCACTATATGAAATTATTGCACACAACCAAAAGTTATTTGTTGCATATCTAAACTGTCCTACCCGTTACGAGACGTCATGGAATCTTTATATTGCAATATTTATCTGTGTGAACCTGTAACTGTGATATAGTCAACTTTAAGAAAGTATTACCTCCGTTTTTGTACCTGCCTGAAAATTAAATAGAGAAAACCAAAACATCAAGTGAATCAGCTGAAGGCAACATAAATATTTAAAATGAACAAAATAAAAATAATGGGTAGAGAACAAGCTTTCACGTTTTAACAAATTGACCCGTCATGCGTCAGTAAAGCACATTAATTTTTTAGTCTCGCTTATTAGCATTTATCGGGCATCCAAAATGTTAAGCGATAGCATTTCTAGTTTTATATTTGAAGCATGAAATATCTACTTTAAAATCTTGAGAGATATAAAATTTTAAATAGCAAATACAGAATACCATCACTCCAATTATTCTTTAAGATAATTCAGACGCACCTGATCCCATTGTGAATCTGTCACTGTGCTCCAAATTTAAATTTAATGATTTGATCTTTAAGGTTAATTTTTAATTTTAAACTTATCATATCTTTAAAAACTATGGTTTCAGCTTTAATATTTGACAAAATTTTAGCAGGTTTAACATTTATATTTATGCTTCGCGTCGGTAAATACTGAATTTCTGTTGCCAAATTAAAATGCATCCGCCACTGTTGATATCATTGATCTCTGAGGCAACTCAGTAGTCGCACAACTCTTAGTTAATTAGATCTGGCCTCTGGTAATAGAATAGTTAAGGAGCGACTCCATCCTAGCTAGTGATCTAAAATGACAATTTTTCTTCTATTAGGAGCGACTACTCCTAGATCTTTGTTTTTATAAGTTCTATCTATATGCCTCCTTCTTTTCTTCTTTATGCCTACTAGGAATCAATTTGTTTAAATAAATAGGCGATAGAACGTCTACTTCGCCATTTTAATAATTAAGAGCTGTTGTAAGGTTGAAAACTTTTGCAATTCGTTTAAGGATTCAAACTACTCAATAAACTTTCAAGTAAAATCTGTAAACATGGATATATATGTTCCAGCTTCCACACGATTCCTCAATAATGTAATAAATGTTAAGAGAAGTGGGTCCCAACTATTTATGTAACTACAGTTAGTTAGTTAGAAGTTAGTTAGTGGTTAGCTACCGTATGTATACAGTAGATGTGTTAGTGGTTAAGTAGAGAGATTATTAGTTCAGTACATTCTTCTCAATATACAGAAATGCTCTTGCTTTCTTTCTGTTTCTCTCTACTTCTAGGACCTTCTTCTGCCATAGCCAAAGCTTCTTAACATGGTATTAGAGCTTTGGTTTTCGGCCTCGGTTAGCTCAGCTGTGATTGAAGATATCTGTTAAGCAAAATTAGAGCCAATTTCTGAGTCAATTGCTAAATTCAAACTACCTTCAACGATCTAGGGTTTGGAGATCTCACCTCGATTGTTAATTTCTTGCTGCAACAATGTCGATCAATGAAGATATAGCTGATGCTCAGTCCATTCCTTAGTCTGTTGATCAAGTTGATCACAATCATCCACTCATCCGACACTCAAGGTTCGGTACTCGTCTCTGTTCAACTTCAAGGTTCTGAGAACTATTCTGTTTGGAGTCGATCATTCAAAATCGTATTGCATGGTAAAAATAAGCTAGGTTTTGTGTTGGGTACATGTCGTAGGGAGATGTATGATTCTAGCCTACATGAGTTGTGGGACAGGTGTAATGCAAGCCTAGATAATGACCTAGTCTAATTAGTACAGTGATCTATGAATCTGATGCTCACAAAGTGTGGGAGGATCTTAGAGAAAGGTTCGATAAGGTCAATGCTTCTAGGGCCTGCTATCTGCATAAAGAGGTTGCCACCTTAACTCAGGGAATCTCCTCTGTTTCTGTATATTTCTCTAGACTTAGAGAGTTGTGGGATGAGTATAAAACTCTAGATCCTACACCTACCTATGGATGTCCTGAATCTAAGAGGCATACTGAACGTTATCAGCTGCAGAAACTATATCAATTTTTGACTGGTTTGAAAGAGTCCTATGAGAATGCTAAGAACCAAGTTCTAATGACTAGGCCACTGCCTAACATAAATCAGGCCTATGCCATGATTATCAATGTGGAGAGTCAAAGAATGCATGGGAAAGGTGCTGCTCCCTTAACTGACAATAATGAAGTTGCAGCAATGATGAGCAATAAGCCACACAATACTAATTACAATGGAGGTTACAACAACAATGGCGGATTCAATTACTAACAACTACAATGGAGGCTTTAAGCTGTGAGGCCCCGTAAAAATTTTTGGCTCAAAACCTAGTATCTTGTGGTGTCGACTCCGAATATGTGTTAGGGTATTGATCTAAGCTTGTAAAAATCAAAAGAATCAATTTTTCCAGAAAATGCCATTCTGCGGCCCAGAATGCGGTCGCAGATCTAGTATGCGGACCGCACTCCTAACTCAGAGTGAAATAGAAGAGTTGTCAAAATTAATGTTGAAAATGTGATCTATTATGCGATCGCATAACCAATATGCGGACCGCATAATCGTCGCATAAGTTCCTCAAGGATTTGTGAAGGTCAGTTCTGCAGTGCACAATGCGACCGCATAACAGGAATGCGGACCGCATTCCTGTCGCAGACCCGAACAGACTCCTCAGAGTTTTGGGGGGCACTTCTGCGGTCCAATCTGCGGACCGCATTTCGTTTCTGCGATCGCAGAATGCGACCGCAGATCTTGCTCGGGCTTCTATTTTTCTAAATTTTAAAAGTATATTCATAGAAGTTATTAGATGGAGCTCTTTAATTTTTTACCTAGAAGATTTTAATTACTCTATTCCAAATCACACGAGTAGCCATTAAACATTACTAAGAGACATCCCCGCTATATATATTTAGTGATTCGAGGGTTTATTTTATTAGTTTTAATGAATGAATTTTTTTTAATTTAATATAATAAACAAAGTCTATTTTGTACTCTATCTATGTATCCTTTTTTATTCCTAAAAAATAGCAGATGAAATAGAAGGCTTAGAAGGGAGATAATGAAATTATGTGATTGGGTCTTTCAAAAGCAAAGGAATGATCCGTTTTTTAGTTAACTGATCTGATGGGTCCAACAAACAATATATTATAACAAATATCTAAATTCTAAATAAAAAAATCAAAAATAATAGACTAAGATTCTAAATAAAGGATAATAAATAAACGGGATCTTCTTTTATTCGAAACGTCTCGTGATCTTCAACCAATTATGCGCTTCAATATAATTACCGGGAGTAACCGCTATAGCCTGATTCCAATACTCAGCGGCTTGATCGAACCAAGCCTCTGCAATTTCAAAATCTCCCTGTTGAATAACCCGACCCCTTTGAAATAAAACACCCATCCCCCTCATTCTTTAACGATCTTCTACACAAAATAAGAGAGAGGAAGAGAGGGTCTTGAGAGAGAAAGTCATCTTCTCCAAAATTTGGTTCTTCAAAACTATCCTGGCCTGGAAATTTCAAGCTTATCTTCATCCCCCTTTTCTTGCAGGTAAAATCCCTAACCCTTTTCATTGAATTTCAGGTTAACGTAAAGGGGGGGGGGGGGGGGGAGTCTCATGCATTGGTTCTTGAAAATAATGGTTGAACTCATACATGCATGCCTTTCTATAGCCTAAAATCTAGTAGGAGTAGTTGGGTGGGAGCAAAGACTTATACAAAGAAGGGGCTGATAACCTAGATAAGTTTGAGAAGCATTTGTGAACCCCAATTCTAAGTTATGTGTATTAAATTGTGCACTAGATTGACGTTGCTAGATTATTTGGTGAATTGAAAATAGAAGTTAAAAGGGAATTCGGCTCCAGGTATGTATGGCTAACTTTGATCTTTGTAAAATCACCTTGCTTGGTGTTCCATATTTGGTACGTGTTGTCTACGTGGGTTATTTGTGAAGTTAAACTCTTGCTAGTAATATGTGTTTACTTGTGTGAACCATTTGTGAATTCATGTAAATATTGTGCCTTAAACGTTGTTGGTTAAGACGTCCGATATGATTGTGCAAGTAAATGGCAATAAACCAAGTTGTGATTGCGAATGTGTTATGTGGTAAGAACTGTGGAATAAATGATGGAAAGGAATCGAAATTGGTGAAAATTGAGATAACTGTGGTAACATCCTTTGTGGCTAGTTGTGAAAAATCATTGTTGTGATTTAAATGGTACAACGGGCTGTTGAAAAAGATGGAAATGACATTGATAGTCATATAAACCCTGTGTGAGTTGTGTTGTTGTTCCTTGAGATGTGTTGTCGTTGTTATTGGGATTTGTTGTTGTTGTTCCTGAAACTTGTTGTTGTTCTCCTTGTAAATTGTCATTGCTGTGGTATTGTTTGTGAATTGTGATTGCTCGGTGGGATCGGGTTGCGCGCCGCAACACGAAGTAATAAGGTGTGGGTTGTGGTGATAAGGGTGGCCGAGGTAATAAGGGTGGAAAGTGATCAAAATCACTATTGAAATGAAATTATGAACAAATTGTGAAATTATTGATGTGGAAATGTGGAAGGGGAAAACAGGAGAGATTGTAAACTTGTTTGGCTTGATTGTTCCTTCTTTGTGTATTTGATTGTTATTTCTATTACGATTACATACTTGTTTATAATTGTGAAATTATTGATGTGGAAGTGTGGAAGAGGAAGCAGGAGAGATTGTATATTTGTTCGGCTTAGTTGTTCCCTCTTTGTTGATTTGATCGTTGTTCTTATTACTGCTACATACTTGTTTATGGTTCGAGTTTACTTGGAGCAAGGTTTGTTCATGCATACCAATACAATTCAAATGTACTGACGTCCCTTTTGTCGGGGGTGCTACATTCGTGTTATGATTGTAGGTGGATCCGTAGCAGGTACTCCAGTCCACCGATCGTACCTCCCCTTCGTCCTCCATCAGCTTTTTGGTGAGCCCCTTTCCTCTCGGGGCCCTCGTGGCTCAGGCCGCTTGTTTTCGGAGTTTTATTTTGATTTTTTTGTGAAAGGTATAGCCGGAGCCTTGTTACCGGCAAATACTATATTATCCTGTTGTACTTTTAGAGGCTCCGTGGACAGTAGATGTGGGTTAAGAACTTGTGTAAATCTATGTTCATGTGTTGGGCAAAGAATTTATAATTTCATTAACTATTATGTACGTATATATGTGTTGCAAAAAGGTGTTCTAAGTTAATTATATGGCTAATTCTTGGAATATTGAGTAAGGAAAACATGGGGTAACACGTGGGTTAGGAAAGGCACCCAGGTCCGCTTGACTGGGGCTACCCGGTCGGGCGCCGGTCATGTCCCTCGAATTTGGGGCGTGACATAAGCCTAGGAATTCATTTGGAAAATCTAGAATTTACTGTGAGTATTGCAAAGGTAGAGAACATACCAAAGACAAATGTTACAAACTACATAAAGGTCCTTCCAATACTCATGCAAATAGTGTTACAAGTGCTGGAAATCCAATCCCCGAGTCACACAATCAATCAGCTCCACCTACTTCACCAGCTCACTTCTCTACTCAGGAGCAGTACAATCAAATTCTTTAGCTACTAAGCAAAGGACAAGAGGCTGAACCTGTAGCAAATGTTCTAACTGCAGGGACAACATGTATTGCTCATGCACTTATGTCACATCTTATAGACCAGAATTGGATAGTAGATATAGTTGCTTCTAATCATATGGTTCATAGTCTGGATCTATTAGATGAGTATGAGGAGTTAATTGGAAATGATAGGAACAAGGTACATTTACCTACTGGAGAGCAAATAGCTATTACACATAAAGGAGTTGCATCATTTTTCAAAGATAATCCAGTTCAAAATATTCTTCATATTCCAGATTTCAAATATAATTTACTCTTAGTTTCAAAGATCACAAAGGAGTTGCAATATCTGGTAGCTTTCTATCCCGATTTTTGTATCTTCTAGGAACTCTCAAGTGGGAAGATGTTGGGGATTGGTAAAGAATAATTTGGACTTTATATTCTGAAGGCAAATGGAAGACCAGTGTCTGGACAACAAGAGCTTCATAAGCAAATTTCTACTTCTTTTCCAACTGTAAATATTACTTCTGATGCATTCAATAAATGTGGTAATCTAGCTACTGAACAGTCTTGTTCTGTGCCCTCTTTGTGGCACAAAATATTAGGTCATGCTCCATTAAAAGTCTTGCAAAAGCTAAATGTTGTACCTAGTCTAAAGCTAGAGGATCATCACTGTATTGTTTGTCCTATTGCTAAACAATCAAGGCTACATTTCTCTCATAGTCTGACTTGTTCTAGTGGTGCATTTGATATTGTACATGCTTATGTGTGGAGGCCTTATAAGATACCAACTTATGATGGTAAAAGGTATTTCTTAACACTAGTTGATGATTATTCTAGATACACCTGGATCTATCTTATGCCCACTAAAGCTGATTCTGTAGATAAAAGATTTCCTAATGCTCAAAACTCCATTTGGTAGTGGAGTAAAATGTCTTAGAACTGATAATCGAACAGGGTTATTTAATGAACAAATAGTCACCTTTTTAAAGGAACATGGAGTTATCTATCAAAGCTCTTGTGTTTATTCACCCCAACAGAATGGGATTATTGAAAGGAGGCACATATCCATTTTATACATGGCCAGGGCCTTGAGATTTCAAGCTTTTGTGCCCTTAAAATTCTGGGGGGCCTGTGTATCCGCTGCTGTCTATCTCTTGAACAGATTGCCCGCTGTGGTATTACAAGGTAAATCTCCATTTGAACAGTTATTCCACGGGTCACCTTCTCTACATCATCTCAAGATCTTTGGGAGTCCGTGATATGCAACCAATGTGAAGAAATGTGACAAATTCAGTGCTAGAGCTATACCATCAGTTCATATGGGGTATTCCGCCTCCCAAAAAGGGTATATTCTTTATGATCTACACTCTAAGATTTTCTTTGTCAGTAGGGATGTTGTATTTAAGTAGGATGTATTTCCCTTCAAACACATGACTTCTGACTCTACCATTCTATTCCATGTGCTGAAATTTGTTGAGACTTCATCTCCATCTCTTCATCAAGATACGACCCCTACCTATGCAATCAACTCTCCTACTTCAGCTCATATTGAAGATCCTATACTCAACCACTCTGAAGATCATTCACCTACTGACTTATCAAATTCACAAGGTTTTCCATCCACCCTGCCATATGCTTCAGTGGTAGAACTCAGGAAGTCTTCAAGGACCACCAAGCCACCTGTGTGGCTGAAAGACTTTGTAGTTCAGTCTTAGAAGGGTGCCTGCCAATATCCAATCTCTAACTATGTAGGTTACAACAATCTTTCCCTAGCTTATCAGGCTTCTATTGTAGCTTATTCTGCTATTTTGGAGCCTAGGTCTTTCTCTAATGTCATAGATTAATGCAATGCAGACTGAAATTGCAGCTCTTGAGGAAAATAACACATGGTTAGTGGTAGAGCTTCCACCATGAAAAACTCCTGTAGGATGCAAGTGGATGTTCAAAGTCAAGTACGAGTCCACATGAGAAGTAGAGAGGTACAAAGCTAGGTTAGTTGCAAAAGGATATAGTCAGCAGGAGGGGCTAGACTACACTGAAACATTCTCACCAGTTGCCAAAATGGTCACTGTGAGGGTTGTCATTGCACTAGCTGCTGCATCAGATTGGTTTATGTGTTTGATGGATGTTCATAATGTCTTTCTTCAAGGTGATTTGTTGGAAGAAGTCTATATGACAGTGCCTGATGGTTTTTCAAGCCATGGGGAGTGTAGTACTAAGGTTTGCAGGTTGCACAAGTCCTTATATGGCGTGAAACAAGCACCTAGGCAATGGAACCTAAAATTAACTGAAGCACTAGTAGATATGGGCTTTGTGCAGAGCCACGTTGACTACTCCTTGTTCACAAAAATGGTTGGGCATGAGTTGCTGATCATATTAGTATATGTTGATGGTCTATTGGTGACTGGAAGCAATTTATGTCTTATTAAGCAAGTCAGGAAAGATTTGGAAGAGAGGTTCAAGATGAAAGACCTAGGAAAGCTAAAATACTTTCTGGGCATTGAATTTTCTAGGTCTCAGAAGGGGATAATTATGTGTCAGAGAAAGTATGCTCTAGAATTGGTGTCTGAATCAGGCTTAGCAGGTAGCAAGCCAGCAGCTGCACCTTTAGAATTCAATCACAAACTCACCTCTGTTGAGTTTGACCAGCTGATACAGGGTGAAAAGAATGCTGCAGAACTTGATGACAAAGGAATGTTTCAAAGATTGGTTGGAAAGTTATTATACTTGACTACTACAAGACCTGACATAGCCTTTGTAGTACAAGTACTCAGTCAATACATGCATACACCAAAAGTATCCCATATGGAAGCTGCCTTGAAAGTAATAAGGCATATCAAAACAGCACTAGTACTTGGTTTGTTTATACCAGCAGGTAAGTGTCAACAGTTAGTTGCCTATTGTGACTCAGACTGGGGATCTTGTGTAGCGACTAAAAGGTCTGTCACAGGGTATCTGGTGAAGTTGGGAAAAGCCTTAATTTCCTAGAAGTCCAAGAAACAGGGAACAGTCTCCAGAAGCTCTGCTAAAGCAGAATTTCGAAGCATGGCAGCCATTGTAACTGAGGTTGTATGGCTGACTGGATTGTTTAAAGAACTAAGAGTTGAAGCTTCACTGCCTACTCGACTATTCTGCGACAATAAGGCTGCTATCCAAATTGCAGCTCACCCTATTTTTCATGAAAGAACCAAAGTGATAGAATATATGAGTCCACCAAACTATATAGAGACCAAGTCCTCTATAGGTTTCCACTGGTAGTGCTAATAAAACAGTAAGTAAATGGAACATGGATCTTTTACGTGGAAAAATCCCTGCTCAAGGGGATAAAAAACTACGACCTACACTAGTAGGATTTCAACCTATGGAATCTAGAAATTAAACTCTTAATCCCTCACTAACTTGTAATACACCTATTACAAGCCACTTTGCAATACACCTATTACAAAGACTTTCAACTCATGACTAACTCTAGTCACGACACAAACACTGAAGGTTTATGGTTTAGAAGGGGTTCCAAATTAAAGCTTCTAGATAAGCAAAGTAGGAATTACAATGAAGAACAATTACAAAGTTACAACTCAACTAAGGACATACAAGATACTTGCTGTAGGAACTGGTCCGTAGTAGTGTTGTAATTTATTCTTGATGCACTTGAGAATTGAATGCTTGACAGATGAATGGTTAGAGTGCTTGAATCAACTCTCAAGTGTTCAAGTGATGTTTTGTTGTTATACTCTTTTTAATACAACTTGGGTGAAATCACTTGAATGATGTAATCACTTGGTTGGTCAAAGGGGAATGGTTGGAGTACTGTGCTGCACTGTTTGCGTGTACAGTGCAGGCAGTCACTTTCCAGCTGTAGACGGTTGACTTCGTACTGCTGTCAAGGAAACACAAGGGGATCAGGTCCCTGTGTTGATTTTTATTTTCTGAAGTCATAGCAACTCACATTAGCTCGAGTCCGTTGATTGAATTGTGTACCAAGTGTGTCTGGTCCCTTATCTGGTTCTTTGACAGTAAGTTTGTTAGATCATCAAAACATAAGGCTAAGGTACTGTAAACCCATCAATTTCCCCCTTTTTGATGATGACAAACTTAGAAATTGATAACCCATTTTCAGAGAAAAATAAACCAGATGAAGTAACAGGAACTTCACAAGTTCCCCCTGACTTTATGCTTCCCCCTTAATCAGATCCCTGTTTCAATTATACTTCTCCCTTTTGGCATCATTACAAATACACAAGCAAGCAATCAACATAAAGAAGTCTAGCCTAGCTAACTCATGCCACATATGTACACACCACATGATAGAGAAGAGAAGCAGAGAAACATAAGCAGTTATAGCAAAGAGGAGAGTTTTCATTAATACTTATAAAACATAAGCCTTTGCTATTACAGCAAAGGCAAATTTGGACTGTAACAGCGGGAGGGCTACAAATGAATTCCATCCACACCAAAAAAAGAAAACAAAAACAACTACCACAAGTTGTTACATCAAAAGAGTTTAAACAGAAACTGGTCACTGAAGGATTTGCCTAGGGGACACTAGAAGGAGAGGGCTTAGAAGCTACAGGAAGAGTGTTGAGAATGAGATCAATTCGAGCATTGGCCGACATTTGCTCTACGAGCAGTTTCTCCTTCAGGTTCTCAACCTCTTGCCTGAGATCAGCATTTTCTTCGGTTAGATGAGCAATCTCTGCATTTGACCCTGGTGCCTCTTTGTCACACCTCCTTTTTACTTACTACACCCCCGGGAAGGGGTATATGAAAGGGAGTTTTTCCAACTTGAAGTGACAATCGAAACGGGATTCATTTATTAAGAGATTCAGAGTCGCCACTTGGGAGATTTATGGTGTCCCAAGTCACCGGTTTAGAATCTTGAATCGAGGAAAATAATGACTCTGTTTAACAGTCCGCGAACCAGAAATCCGAGTAAGGAATTCTGTTAACCTGGAAGAAGGTGTTAGGCATTCCCAAGTTCCGTGGTTCTAGCACGGTCGCTCAACTGTTATATTCGGCTTAATTATCTGATTTTAAACAATTATGAACCTATGTGCAAATTTTAACTTTAACCGCTTTTATTTATTTTATTTTTTTTAAAGAGAATTGCAACCTCATTAAAACACGTCTTGAACCACGTCACATAAATGCACCCGTGGTTTTTGACGTATTTTAATTTCATTGGGATTTGGATTTGGGTCACATAAATGTGCACCCGAGTTTAAGAAGGTAAAATTATTAAATAACGCGCCTAAAAGCAACTACGCGTTTGCATTTGCGAGGGTCATAGAATTTGCGAAATGGCACGCCTCGGAATCTAAAGCTGAGTTAAGGTTAATAAAACGAAGGTCACGCAATTGCCATTCTTGTTCGGCACGGTGCACCTCAATTCTTAAATTAAAAGAAAAAGCATTCAACTAAGTGAATTACGGATATTCATTTTAACAACTAATAAATTCTGTTCATGATAATTTCTTTTAATTCTGTTCAAACCCCAAAGCCCATAGTCCGTTTTGCCTTAAACAAATTGTGGTTTTCTTTAATTGCTATTCCTAACTTTGGCAGAAGAGATTATGGAACCAAATTAAGCCCAAAGAAATATCCAAACATACAAACAACAATAGAAAATATTTTGTTTCTCACTACAAACATGTTCAAGAATAATAAGTAGAAAAGAATGGACCAAAACTTCTTTCAATAAAGTCTAAATCATCACTACATCAATGTATCTTCTAATGAACATGGACTTTGTTAATAAGACGTTTAAAATATTTCATAAGGATAGAGCAACAGAGAATTAACACAGCATTCAACAAAAACCAGAGCAAAATATATTCGCAAGTTTACCAAAATCATGAAATTAAGCCAACATAGTAAAACAAGGAGTAATGGACCTCAATGGCGACAATCTGAACAAAGACGACAGCAAATCGGACTCGGAACCACGAACCTCGTTGTCGAGCAACCACAGTTGAACCAAGCTACACCAACAGAGCCCCAACGCCGGAACAAACGAACGAGAAATGCCCAAAAAGGTTGAAAAGCTAAGGCTGGAGCTCAGCCATAAATTCAGCCAGCACAACAGCAATCAACAGCAGCTTTAAAAGATGAAATTTCGGATATAAGAGCTTCTGCAACGTCGAGTACAAGAACATATGGTAACAACGACGTGAACGGAACTAAAAGAAATAGAAACAGGGTGTTCAAACAGAGCAAAACTAATCGGCCACAACTTCAATGGTGAAATCGACAGACTGGA